GGAGCCTTTGCCCCTTTTCCAGGTCTCTCTAGAAGCTGGCAATTCTTTTAAAAATTATTTCCCAAGACGTGGTTTGGATTAGTTTATAAGGAAGGAGGGGTGATCAGGTCCTCCTGGGTACTCAGCAGGCACCTTCCAGCCACCAGCCTGTATCCTCTCTCTGGAGGCTCACAACCCTTCTGTCTGTCTCTCAGCATCTCTCCAATTCCCTCCCACACCCCATGTTTGTATCATCAGCTTTGCTGCCATAGAACCTTGGGCGTGAGAAAGAGCATACATCTCTGGAGCTCTCTCTCATCCAAGGAAAATGAGCATTGAGCCCAAGCTGGGAGATGGGGTCATGAGGTGTTTTCAAAATATTCTAATATGCACACAGAGGTCAGAAAGTGAAGGGTGACAACCTCCCAACCTGAGAACAGGAAGGGATCAGTATGTGGGATAAAGTCTGATGTCAGGCCACGCTGACTCTCTCCTGCCTTGTTCCTTGGGCTTTGTGTGTGTGTGCTGACTCTACCCACTGAAGATGGCACAAGTCACTAGGGAAGGTGATAGAGGGATGAGGTTAGGTGAGCAAGGTGGGAACTTATTTGGTTGCTAAATGGCCTGCAGGGCTCACTGAACTCAGGACAACTTCTAAGCTGCACCTTCATGACAAAGTGGTCGTCCCTGGATATACTTACAATCACTTCCTAACCTGACTCTATGAGGGTGTAAATGAGGATTTAATAAAAGAAACTCAAACCACCTAATAATGGAGAAGCATCAATGCTCTGATCTAATTATGGTCGGACCCATTCCTAGAATGGAGCAGGGGCCATTTGGGCAGGGGGAGCAAAATGGTGGAGTCTTCATGAACCTACCTTCTGCCTGCCACTGAGGCTGGGCCCTGGGCCTCAGCCCTCCCTGCCTCCGCCCTGGCCACTATGTCCCCATCCTAGGCCTGGACGGTGTGGTTTTCCCTGTGGGGTCTGGACAAAGTAAGATTCATTGGCAGAGGGAGACTTCCCCTGTGATAGAAGCAGAAAAATAATCCCCTTATCCTTACAGTCCCAGCCACAAATTAACCTCACCTCTGCAGGTTGCCTGTCAGGAGATGGAGCCACTACGGGCAGGTCCTGGGTGCCTGGAGTTGGGCATGAAAGGAAATAGCGCCTCATCGCTCTTATCTAAGCCCAGAGGTATTTATGAGCGTTTATTCCTCTGATCCATTTGTTTGGGAAAAAGAGCAGGCAAGCAGGGCTGGGCCAGAGACCTCCTGGTTTCTGGAGCCAGATCTCTACGAATCTGTCTGTGGTTCGGTCCACCCCCGTCTGTCTGTCTCCATGGGGGAATATGTAAATACACAGCGGGCACAGCCGTCTGCCGGTCTGGTGTATCTCTCCCGCCTCCATGAGGAAGTGTGTGTACAGAGAGGTGGATATAAATGTGTACCAAGTCTTAAGTACACAACAGAGGGATTGTACAGATACCCCACAGGCAGGATTTATAATTGTAATTTTCTGTGCTATGAGGAGTCTCCAGTCCTGTGGGCGAGATCACACATTCCAGCTCCTAAGAAAATGTTTCCTAAGTTGTCTTTTGCTCAGGAGTAAAATTCTCCTGGAAGGGTAATTCAGGGAGGGGTATTTGCCTGTATGCATTGGGGGGAAGGGGACTGAGACATTGCCCAGGCTTCCTTTTTCCTCTAAACTATAAAGCCCCCCCCCCAGCTCTTTTGGTTGTGGGCACCTCCCCCCCACCACCAACTTCAGCTGGAGTGGGGCAGATGAAAACATCTCAACCCAACTCTCCCCCTAGACTCTGATTCTCTGGGTTTGGGGAATATAAATGTTCCCAGAGGAGCAGTGTGGTTGTTTCTATCGGTTGGGAGAGGCTCTTTTGATGGAACACTTTGCCCTAAAATTGGCCCGTCCAAATCGAGGTACAAAGACCTCATTTTCATTATGCAAATGAGTGACATTCTCTCTGATCTTCAGGAGGAGTGGATGGTGGCATTGAGGCTGCTCTCCCTGTCCCCTCCCCCAGGTCCACGGGCACCCTAAGAGCCCTGAAGTGTTTCACCCCTCTGTACACGCTCCATCTCACCTCCCTACCTGTCTTTCTGATTGCCCTACAGAAAAAAAATCTCCGAGGGGCCCAAGACCTTCCAGCCCGGTTCCCTGGGGGCCTCCCTCAGACCGGCTCACTAAGCCGGGCCTTCTAGACGCCAGAAAGTCACTGTCGCTGCGAACAGCTGAGAGAACTGCTCCCGAGGCCCAGACTCGAGAGGCGCCGAGAGCGCCGAGGCTGCAGCTGCGGAATTTGCCCCGGCACCGCCAGGCCCCTCGATCTCAGCAGCTCCTCCGGCTCCGGGCCAGACCCTAGTAACACCTCGGTTCGCCTGGCACCGCAGGCAATTTCCTGGAGCCCCCGCCCAGGAACTGGGGCCACAGCACCTTGAAAGGAACGGCCAGAGCTTCCTCCTGCGGCTTGAAAGACCGAGCTAATCAGTAACCCGTGAGACGGGGCCAGTACTCAGCGCGGCGGCCGAGGCTCCTACCCCCGCCTGCCCACCCCCTCCTGGGAAGGCGTCGCGCTAAGCGGGTGTGAGGGGTCCGGCAGGGACGGAAATTACAGTGGTTTGGTTCCCTAATCATTGATCCCCACTCCCACTCCCAGGTTTTCCCCCAAGTATATTTGCGTCGATTTCTCTTGAAATGATAGAGCATGGAGGAGGGAATCGACACTCACTCGCAGGCACCAACAGTTCCCAGAAAACTCGGTTCAAATCCCTCACCACGAACCCACCAGCCGCGGAACTGGCAGGACCCAGCAGCCAACCCAGAGAACACAGACCCGGCTTGTCTTCTGACAGTCGACTGGAACTGCCGGCCGGCGCCTCCCCTGCCGGCCCCCTCTTTTGGCTGAGAAGAAAACCAAATAAACCTTGGACAGCCTTGGCCTGGGATCTCTCTTGCGGGCCCGGTCCTCTCCCGCGCCCTGGGGAGGGCTGGGGCAGGGAAGGGGGTCTCGCGGCCCTGATCCCCCAACCCTTAGGTGCAGGGCTCCCTGCTTGCGGGGTGCAGCGTTCTTTTTAAATACGCCGCTTCCTCTGCCAGCCGCCAGTCTGGGGTTAGGACGGGCGTGGGGGGAGTGGAGGAGGAACGGTGGCGGGAGAGACTTTTGCTGTTCTCTAATCCGCATCCGGGAACCAAGATTCAGTGGGGAGCGTCCGTGTGGACCCGAAATACCCCGAATCCTGCCGAACCTGCGCGGCCAGGGCTCCAGGCGTCGGGCAGGACTCCGGCAGTGTCGCGGGGCTTGCGGCGCCGAAGCCGCGTGTCTCCGAACGGACGGTAGATGGCAGCAAACCGCATAATTTGGGTCAGAGCAAACTGTCTAAGGGACGATTTATAACCCGCCAAGACTCCAGGAGAAAAAGACCTTTAGTGGAGATGGGTTTGGGGAATTTTTCCTTTGAGAATAGGCCCCTAGTGCCGTCGGTGCTGGCCGAAAACTCCTCTCGCTACGAAGCCAAGGGGTCCCTCCAGGTGCCCAGTCCCGGCCTGCGCCTAGGGCATCTACCTGGGCCCCCAGTGGCCCCCCTCCCACGCCACAAGTGGCTGTGTTGTCCTTCTCCCCGCAGCTCAGGACTGAGAGGGCCAATATAACCACACATACACACACACCCAGACCCTGCAATCTCGGGGAAACCAGAGGCCAAGGCCAAACGCCCTGAAAAGCAATCACCTATTTGTGCAAACCAAAGCAAATCACAGATTCTCCTGCCCTCTGTGCCCAACGTCACTTATCTCTCAGCTCGAAGCTTCCCATCCCGTTTCTAAGTCCTTGCCTCTTGGCTTAAGCCTTCTTCCACCCCACCAGCTACTTTAGGAATTTCTGTCTCCCAAAACCCGGTTCTTCTCTGTCCCCCTCCTCCCAAGGAGGCCTGACTAGGGAGATGAAATGGGTGCCAGAGGGACAGGACTAGCTGTCTGAGCTCAGCGCTGGGTGACTTTCTAGTCCCGACACCATTAGGTCCCCTAGTTGGGTTTTCTTTTTTCTTTTCTTTTTGTTTTTATATTTTTTTAGGAGTCTAAAACAACAACACGCTGAACAGTACAACCACCACGTTTGGATCCAGGAAAGTTTGAAATATTTCCATATGAGACACATACATGGCAATTTTCTCCACTGAAATACACATTCCGTACCAATAAAACACAAGTACTAGAATCAATATCGCACAGAAACCAACACACTGTAACCTACCGCGTTAAAACCACAAAACTGTCTCCCTGCAGAGCGAGGCTCCCTCCTGCGGGTGTGGCGAGAGACCTGGGCACTCACGGGCGGGCTTCCTGGGAGGTCTCCCTCGCCTTGGGTGCCTCCACCCACAGCCCTTTAATTCCACAAATGTCTCAGATGGGAGATAGTAAACATGTCTCTGTGAATTGTTCTTTCTGTGTCTCTCTAGCTTCCTCCTCACCCTCGCTGGCCTCTGCGGAGATTCCAGGCCCTACGGAAACCAGGACGTCCCTCAGCGCCACCGCCCCTAGTGCCAATGCTGCCGGGAAAACCGCCGACACCCGCACCCGGCAAGAGAACTGCGCGGGGGCAATTGGGGGATTCCGGGACAAGGGAGGGATGGTGGCAGGGGGGGGGGACACAAATCCACAGCGACCATGGCGACTGGCTTCTTCAGGCGCTGCTGAAGCTAAGACACCCCAATCCTGTTTCACAGCCCCCCTTACTTGAGCCTCGCCTCCAAGCTTAAAAAGGCGACTCGGAGCTTGTCTCCACGGTCCCTTTCGGTTCCTCCTCCTGTCTTCCCTGCCTTGGCTCCCCCTCCAGGAAGCTTCCACCCTTCTCTCCACCACCGGATTTCCTAGGAAGCCTCTCCCTGCAGCGCCCAGAGGTGGGGTTCAGCCCCATCTGGGGGGGAGGGAGAAAACCCCAAGCCCCACCCCCTACGAAAGCGATGCAAAAGAACAAGAAGAAAATTGTAGAATCTCCCTTACCTTTGCAGACCTTGGGATTTTTTCCTCCGGTTTGAAGGAGGTGGGGAGGGAGGAAAAAGGGAGCGTTCGGTTTCTTCTTCAGCTTCCAGATAATATTGTCCCAACCTGAGAGCCGTCGCTTCCCCTTCTCTGACTTGGAAGAGAGGGTGTTTCGCTTTTCTGATATTTGCATAGAAAATGGAGTAAGTTCTGGCTTTGAAAAATGGTATCAGGTTGTGATCGTGGGCAGATTGTCCATTTACCCTCCATGATGACTGAAATCCCAGATCAGCAAGCAAATTAACTTAGGAATCAAAATTATTTTTGGTTCTCTCTTTTGTGTAATTCCCACCCCTCTTCTCCCTCTCCTCTCTCCTCTCCCCCCTCTCCTATCCTCTCTCTCTTTTACTCTATCAAGCAGATACTAAAGTATAAAAATATCAGGAGGCTGGAGCCCTGAAGGACGACAGTGCTCCGACCTAGGTGTGGTGTCCAAAAGAATGCTGCATTATAACCACCAGGGAAATGATAAAAAGTTCATGTTCACGATCGCCCGGCCACATGACCGGCGCCGGCCAATCGCTGGATTCAACCACTCATAAACTTCTATCACAAAGTTGTAAATTTTCATAAAACAACAAGGAATTTATTGCATTTCTTCATGGCTGCTCCACCAGCAACCCTTTTCTCAGTCGCCATCTTCTTTTCTTCTCCTTCTCCTTTTTTGGGGAAACCTCAATCTGAGAAGGGGTGAGATTTGAGGTGCAGGGAATCAAGGTGGAGAAGCCACAAGGGTGCAGCTGGGAAAGGGGTTCTTTTGGGAGCCTCCCTATTTTCTGCAGGAGCTCTGCCCCCCTCTTCTAGTAAAAATTCACCCCAGATCCTCCTCAGAGGGACTCTTCTGAGGCAATTTGGGGGTGAGGTGGGAACAGTAGCTGGTGTCCAGAGTTGCCATTTGCATCAGGGCAAAATGAAAGCTTCAGTGCCCCTGCTCTGCTCTGAATTGTCCCCCTAATTCCTAGCCCTATAAATGAAGGGACCCCCACCTGTGAGGCTTGCAGCATTGCAGATGTGAGGGCCCTAGATCTCCTGGGGCCTACTTTTTGTCCCAAGAGGAAAGGTGGCCTGGATAGAGACCAAAGCGGATAGTCTAACAACCAGATTCTTGCCTCCGCACCCCAGAAACTGGGGGAGGGTAAAGCCGGATCCTGGCCTCTCCCGCCCCAACGCCAGCATGTCCAGGTTCCCTGGAATGCCCCGTGTGCTCTCCAGGGGGTTCTATGGTCATTAATAGGGGAAACTGCAGGTTTAGGGGCCTTTTACTTGCAAATTCATATTAAACAGATTCTCCCAAAACCAATCCACTTCCCCCTTTCTGTCCGATGTCTGTCCTTTAAATTTGAACATGCGGGGGTTTATTATCCAATAAATAGTAAAAATCAGCTCTGCAGATCTAACCGCATAGACGCCGTTTTCCAGGTTTTTGTCCCGCAATCGCGGGGTGTTCGGGAGAAAAAAAATATCACCCGGTGTTTCCCAGATTCCCTGAAATACCCCCGTATTTTCAGTTGCGCTGCCAGCGTCCAAATGCAGAAAACGAAATAACCTCCCCCCAAAACGTTTTTCTTTTTTTTTCTCTCTTTCTCTTTCTGTGCGCCGGAGAAGGTTCCAGGTTGCCGGCGGCGCGGAGAGCGGGCAGGACAGCGCGGAGAAAGCCCCGGCCCGGCGGGCGGCACGGCCGGGCTCGGAGCCGCGGGGACGCGACCGCACCAGCACCGCTCACGTCTCGCTGCCGGGACGCTCGTTTCCCCGCCTATTTTAGAGTCTAATTTGGATCGCCTGTGTCAGTGTAGAATGAGATTACTTCAAACAAAAGAAAGTAAAATAAATTGAAATAAAATAAAAGAATAGCCATTGCCGAAAATGTTTGCAGAGCGAGCGGGAAGCCATGAGAGCCGTGCTGGGGGCTGCTCGGGGCCGGCCCGAGGCCTCTCCTGGCGGGCCTGGCCTGCACCCCGTGCTGCCCGAGGAGCGGGAGGGGATCTGGGTGTTCACCTTCCCTTTCCTTCCGCTCTTCCTCCCGCGAGGCCTAGCATTTTGGATTTCAGCTTTGTATTTGTTCCCCGGGCGGTGGCCAGATCCTGCAGCCTGGTTTGAAGGCCTGGATGGGAAAGACGTTTTGTGGAACTGTCAGATTTTTTGTTTTGTTCTGTTCTGCTTTGAGAGTGTGTGTGACTGAGCATGGGGGCTCATGATGTGTTTATTTGGGGCAGATGCGAATCTATGTGTTTATAAGCCACTGCGTGAACATACATTGTTATATATCAGTGCATCTGTGGGTGAGTGGGAATGTGTGTTTGCTTGTGAGTGTGTGTGAACGTAAACGCATGTGTTCTGGAACTGTGTGAATGCTTGTTTGTGAGTGTATGAATATGGGTGTTCATTTGTGACTATATGTGACAGTGGGTATATTTATGTGTGATGTCAGCCTGTAAATACGTGTGATTTGTGTGTGGAATCGTGTATGCCAATGTGTGTAAAAGGGTGTAAATGGAATTTGTGTGTAATATCGGGGTTCACTACTTGGTATCCCTCAGATCAGGGGGCACCAGAAAAAAAAAAAAACAGCATACAAAGAAAAAAGCCAGCAGCCGAAGTCGGAGAAGAGAGCCTCTGGGACGCCCACCCATCGCTAGCCCTGACCCCCTCCCAGCCTTAGGGAGACACAGAAAATAGGGCCTCTGTTTATTTTTAATTGCATTTTTATTTTTCCATCCTTCGGATCCACAAAAATGTTAAGGGGGCGCTGGCGGGAGCAAGGAGCAGCGGTCAGGCACAGGGGTACACGTGAGCTACTAGGAGCTACTAGGTGGGTTCTTGGGGCTCCCTAAGACCCTTTTGGCGCCATTACTGGGAGGGCGGAGGCTCAGGAGGGCGGGGAACCACACATGTTAGTCCAGACCCACAGTCCACAAAGACAGCACCCGTCAAAGGGGGCTTACCAAACAGCAAGATTTTACAAAGACCTTACAACAGCAACATAGAAAGGGGAGGCAAATTCCAGAAAGCTACAGAACAGGTAGATAATGTCCTTCCCATGTTGTACAAAAACAAGCGCGACAGATTTTCCTATAGGTAGTATTTTTTTTTCCAGTGTTGAGAAAACAAAATTTCACCTTTCTCTCTCCTTAAAAAAATTTTAAACTGCTTACATTTAAATAGTTTTTTTTTTTTTCCTTCCCTATTTGATCTGAGTTTCCTGGTTTCATTCCCAGAGCTGGGCTTCTCCCTCTCTGGCTTTCTCGTCTCTCTCTTTCTCTGCACTTTCTCTGTCCCTCACTCTTCCTCTTCCTCCTCTGCTTCCGCCTTGTCCTGGCCGGTGGTCCCGGGACCCGTGGTCTTGTTCTCCTTTTTCCACTTCATGCGCCGGTTCTGGAACCAGATCTTGATCTGGCGCTCGGTGAGGCAGAGCGCGTGCGCGATCTCGATGCGCCGCCGCCGGGTCAGGTAGCGGTTGTAGTGAAACTCCTTCTCCAGCTCCAGCGTCTGGTAGCGGGTGTAGGTCTGGCGGCCGCGCTTACGGTCTGTCCCTGAGCACAGCATTTAGAGGGAACAAAATCAGTGAATGTGGAAAACGCCAAGAGAGGGCCCACATCTCTTAGATGCTGTGTACGATTTGAAGTCTGTGGGCAGAAGAAGCCTAGTTTCCCACTGAACCGAATTCTTGCTTCTGTAAGAAGCAATACTCCACGCTGCCCTTTTCCCTCAATGTGCAGGACTTTCTACAGGACTCCCAAGGCGAACATTCCCACTTCCCATCCGAGAAGTCTTTGAGACTGGAGCCTCAGAATCCAGGCAGAGCTAAACTGCTGGTTCTTGAAAGCTCTGCTCCTAAGGGATGTATGTGGGATGAGGAGAGGTTAATCTTCCTGTCACTATCAGGGACCGGGGACCCTAAGCCTCGCCTTTTGGATGCTGACTCTGACGGTCTTTGAGGTAGAGGGCAATTGGAAACCATGCAAGTGACCCTGCAGTGGGGCTCCGGGCCTGGCCTGAGTGTGTTTCCCAAGAAGAAAAGGGGACTAAGGGGCCTCACTGGCCTAGTCCAACACCCGCCCCCAGCCTGTTGTGGACCGAGAAAGAGGTGAGAATTTGCAGATTTCCTTGGAGTGTGGAGTTGGTCTGAGAGCAGCTGCCCTCTAATGACTGTTCCAGTGAGTGGCTGAGATTCAGCCAGGGCCAGGTTGGTCTACCTGCCTGCCTGCCTGCCTGCCTGCCTGCCTGCCCAGACAACCCAGCACTCCAAAGCAATTTTTGGGCTTCCAGGAGGGTGCAGGGGGGAGAAGAGACAGCAGCCTGGGTTAGGGCAGAACATGGAGTATCTGGATGGTGGGGGCTAAAGGGCAGAGGGGACTTCCCAGGTTAAGCCCAGAACTCTGGGGATACTTAGGGGAGGTGCTGATGCCAGTCCTGAGAAGGAAAGAGTGGGAGGAGGGGCTACGGGCCCTAATTTCAAATCATATAAAAGCCAAGCTGAAATGTTATGAGCAGAAAAATTTGGAGTTTGATAAATCAACTGGAAAAGCAGTTGGATTATGGAGCAGGTAATGGGGACTATGACCACCAATACTGATGGTGTAAGAGTTGGGTTCCTCCTGGCCCCTGACTCTAGCTGGGTTGGGAGCCTCTGGCCACAGGTCTTGGGCCCTCAGGGCCTTGGGGCTGGCCCCCAAGTCCATCTTCCTTGGGGAAACATAAAAAAGGATGTCTAAGCTAGGCTTGGCAAGAGGCCCCATGGAACCCCTGGCTTCCTGGGGTTCCTGAAGCAGATGAGGTCGGTCTCTAAGTCTTGATTTGGCTCCATGGAGTCCTAGCCCCTCCCTCAAGAGGAGATTCACCCTTCTGGAGTGACGCTTCCAAACTTGACCAATTCTCCTCTAGGAAGGGCACCTGAGGAAGCCAGCTATACTCCCATGAGGCCTCTGTCCCTTTCTCTAATTATCCCGTCCCCCTCCCCCGTTCACTGGGGGGTCAGGACCCTCTTCTCTCTTGCTCAGCCCCCTCCGTCCACATGCCTCTCTGGCTCTGTATCCCTGGCTAGGTCCTCATCTCCTCTGGTACCCCCTCCTCCTGCCAGGCCTCTAGAGCCCACCTCTAATTGTCCTGATGGGAATAATGGGGGAGCGGGGTTGGCTGGGAAGGAAGGGGGAGGGGATAATTGCTTAACGATATGGTCCCCTCCCCCATAGCTTTTTCGGACTAGGGCTGGGGGGCACACCCAGAGCTGAGATCCCCGGCGGGTAAGGGGGGAGGGAGAGAGGGGGCAGACCCTAATGGCTATTCTCTGCAAACCCCAGCCATCCTCCGCAAGACAAACGGCCTCGTCTCCAGCCCGTGCTGGCGCTGCTGATAAATATTTAAAGCTAAAAGGCCAGGAGGAAGGGTGGGGGGCGGGCTGGGGGCTCCGAGCGCCGCGGCGTCGGCGTAGAGAGATCCGCCGGGCAGCCGAGCAAGCCTGAGAGCACCGAGCAAATATGGGGGGGTGGGGACGGCGCGCCGGGACCCAGCCGAGGGGTGCCGCGTCCCCAGGCCCACCTCCGGCCGGGAGCACTGCGGACGCGGAAAGGGGCGCTCAGCCAGGAAGGGGGCGCCTTCCGGGAAACGTGCCCCGGCCGCTGCGGCTCGGGATGGCTCGGTGCGCGGCGTTACCTGAGCTTCGCATCCAGGGGTAGATCCGGAAGTTAGTCTCGGCCGCCAAGTCCGAGTCCCTCTGCTCCTTGGCGCCCGGCGCCTTGGCGGAGTCGCCGGGACACACCCCGGAGAGGTTCTGCTCAAAGGGCGCGCAGTGCATGTTGAAGGAACCCGGCTCGAGCCCGTAGCCGGCCGCGTAGACGCCGGCCGCGCTCTGGCCCGCCATGCCCCCCCCGCCGGGGTACAAGCCCTGCATCGAGGCGGCGAAGGGAGCGCCCGGACCCGCTCCATAGCCCGGGCGCTGGGGGTTGGAAGCAAACGCACAAGAAGTTTGTTCTGGGAAGGCTCCGGTAGCGAAAACCGAACTTGCGGCTGGATATTTAGAAAATAAAGCATTCGCATAATACAATGAACTCATAATTTGGCCGGATGATTTGTAGGCAGGGACGTTTTAGTGTCGGTTTTACGAGATTCCTTGATATATTACAGAATTAGAGTCCAGATTTACACCAAAAAGGACCCCCTTTTTCCTCTCCGGACCACGTGACCCTCGCCCACGTGATGTCCCCTCCGCCAATGGCCGGGCAGCCTCCCCACGACTCCCGGTAATGTGGAAAAAATTGTGTGGCGTTGGATTTATAAAATATGATCAATAATGAATGGGCAAGCCGAGCCCTGTGGATTGGGGCTGGGGGCTCAAGGGCCGCTGTGGACCCCCGGGGCTGGAGGCAGCTTGCAAGCGACATTTGGGGAGGAAGGGATTGAGTGGAAGGGAAAATAATAACCTCCGAGCGAGCCATCGGGGTCGCACCCCCCCCATCCTCCCCGGCCCGTTACCGAGCGAGAGACCAACGCGGGGATTGAATAGATGCAAGTGGGTGGGTGGGGGCGGTTCAGGTCTTTATTAATCTGGGCCGGTTCAGCCCAGCAGGGCCTTTGGGGGAAGTTGGTCCGGTTGTCCCAAGGTGAGGAAGGAAGCGATCCTGGCCTCGCGGTTCTGTCTCCGTGCCCCAGATAGATGGGTGGAGATGGAGGGGGACTTCGTAGGTGCTCCTAGAGCACAGGATCCAGCCCACCGGGCACTGGACGCTGCGGTTTCTGGTGGCTAAAAACAAACAAACAAAAAGATTTAAAAGTAAAAAAGGGTGGGCGGGGAGAGAAAGGAAGGGAGGAGGTGGCCCCCGCACGCCGCTCTCCCTGTTCCGGGAGGCGGACGCCTCAGTCGAGCGTGTCTGCCCAACAAGCAGATGCAGCGAAGGAAGGAAGGCGGCGAGTCATGGCCTAGGAGCTGGGCGAAGGTGGCCGCGTCCCAGCGAGGCACAGGCGGCAAGAGCGTCTGGCTTCTCCTCCTTCTCCCCCAACCAGAGTCCGAGAAAAATAAAAATAGAAGCGTGCTCAGCAGCCCTGCACTCCACCTTTATCTGCAAGCCCCCAACACACACACACACACACACACACACACACACACACACACACACACACACACACCCCGAAACAAAGAGGAAAGTGGCGGGGGCGGGGGACACACACCCGCTCAGGCGCATCTCTCCTGCGCGGCCTGTGCGCCCGGGTCTCCGGGGCCGGGCAGCCTCAGAGCGCGAGGGGAGGGGGCTTCCCTTGCTCCCTCCCTCGTTCCTCTCTCCTCCAATCACGTGCAGCCGCCTCCCTCACCCCCTGCGCCCCTGGGCCGAGGGACTCGCACCACCTGCCTTCAGCCCCCGCCTCCTGCTCCCGGTGGCCTAGCCTGTGCGGGCGCAGGAGCCCGGTGACCCGCTCCCCCCGGCTCTGCTAGGCGCCCCGGAGCAAATGAGGATCGCGGGCCGGGCCAGTCTCGGGTTGTCGCTTGTAAACTTTATTGTAACTCTTCCGCCCTTTTCAGGCGCAGACAACAGAACAAAGTATAGAGGAACAACAAAATATATCATTAGCCCTCCCTCCCCCCCCATAAAGCAATTCACGGATACAGGATACATTCTCTTCACAGTAAACCTAAGAACACTTTTAACAATTGCCCACAGCGCGCATGCGAACTAAAGTAACCTCTTTTGAGAAACACTTAAGACGAAATTGTCAAACCAAAGGGGGGGGGGGGGGAGAGAGGAAAAGAGAGAAGCGAGAGAGAAAGCCAGCGAGCTGGGGGGGGACAGCGGCGACAGAGAGGTTGGGAGGGGAAATGAGGGTGGAGAGAGAGAGAGAGAGAGCGAGAGAGAGAGAGAGAGAGAGAGAGAGAGAGAGAGAGAGGGAGACAGAAAGAATTACGGCGTGAATAGGCAGTTTCATGTTGTTGGGAGAACTTAGCAGAAATCGGTACCTTGGTCATTACAAAGAAGCACGTTCAAAGGAAAAACGACCATTGCACAAGGAGGCTTTTTACACGGGGCGGGGGCGGGGACGGGGGCTCAGCCGGGCCGGCCGCTCACCCTCGTAGGGCGAGGGAGTCCTTGCTTAAGATCCCCTTTTCCCCCGGCCCCCCGTGGAAGGGAAGGAGACCCACGGTAGCTCACACACAGAAGCTATCACGAGATACTACCACTAGCGGGGACTGGCGCGGCGGGGGACGCGGCGGTGGGAGGCCCGGCTGCCGGCTCCGCTGGCGCTTGCGGGGCCAGAGCTGTCTCGGGCGGGGGCGGGCGGCGGCGGCGCGGTCAGGGGACCGGCGAACGTGCGGGCGGCCGCGGCCCTGGCAGTCCCAGCGGGAGCCTACTTCTTGTCGCCCTTCTGCGCGTCGCCCTCCTCCGCCGCCTCCGGGGCCCGCTCCAGCTTCTGTTTCTCCAGCTCCTCCTGCTCGCATTTGCTGCTGGGGAACTTGTCTTTGTTGTTCTCTTTTTTCCACTTCATCCTCCGGTTCTGGAACCAGATTTTGACCTGTCTCTCAGTCAGTCCCAGCGCATGCGATACCTCGATCCGCCGCTTGCGAGTCAGATAGGGATTAAATAGGAACTCCTTCTCCAGCTCCAGGGTCTGGTAGCGGCTGTAGGTCTGTCGGCCTCGCCTGCGTCCGGCGGCTGCTGGGAATGGGGGAAAGGGCGAGACAGAGGAGAGGAGAGGGGAGGGGAGGTGGGGGAGGGGACAGAGACGGAGAAGGTTGAAAGATTCGTGAACCAGCCTAGGAGACCAGCATAATAAGGGCAGGGGACCTTCTACCCCTGTGCGGGGGCGGGGGACGCAGGGAGGCCGCGGTGAGCTGGGGGGTGGCGACCAGACACCACTAAGTCTAAGGGAGCCAGAAAGGGGGAGCCCCCTCCCCTGGTAACCAGCACCAGAGCTGGGTGGGGGATGTTTTAAATCTACTAAAAGTGCCATAAACTTTAGAAGGAAGGATGTGAAGGAGGGGGGAATAAGAATAAAAAAGCCCGGGTGGGGACGAATGGACCCACCTTGAAAAGCCCCCCGAGCCTCTGCCCCAGAAGAAAAGTTCTTCAGGGTAATTAAACTATAAAGCAATTGAGAAGTGCAAAAGTTGAGCGCCCCCACTCCCACCACCCTCTCTCCACCACCCCCCATAAAACAGTAAAAGAAAAAAAAAAAGGAAAGAGAAGAAGAAAAGTAAGGCAGGGTGAGGGGTTTATGGATTCAGGAAATGTCGCTTAGCGACCCCCCTTCAAGGGAAACAAAAAAGAAAAGGAAAGAAAAGAGAAAGAAGGAAGGAAAGAAAGGAGAAGCAAGGCGATGGGAACGGAGCCGGCGAGTCTTCCAGTAGCTGGAGGAAAGGCACCCGGCCTGCCCGGCCCCCTGCCCGGCCTTGGGCCCTCCCGGCCCCGTCCTGCCCTGGCTGGCCCGGACGCGAGCTCACCTTGCGGGCGCATCCAGGGGAAGAGCTGTGTGGGCGACGGGCTCTGCTCCGAGCCCTCGGCCTCCTCGCCCAGGCCGCTGGCGGCGGCGAGCTTGCAGTCTGCGTACTGCACCAGGTCTGGATCCTGCGCACCGAACAGGCTCTGGCGCTGCAGCGGGTCGTAGCCGTAGAAGTTGCCCGGGTCGCCGTGGCACGCCACGGCGCACGGGTTCTGCTGGTAGGGAGCCGTGGACAGCGACGATGGCCCGTGGTAGAACTCCTGGATTTGCGACGGGTGCTGGAAGCTGCCGCCGCTGCTGGGACCATACACCACGGTGGGTCGGCCGCCCAGGTCCTGGGCGAAGCCGCAGTCATAATAATTGGGGCGCAGGGACTCCCCGGTTTTGTATTTGGAGAACAGTGAGTTGACGAAATAAGAGCTCATTTTATGGAATTTTGGGGCGGCGGCGGCGGCGGAGGCTGTAGTTGGGGGCTGTTGGGGAGGGGGTGGGGAGGGGGAGAGGGAGGGAGAGAGAGAAAAAAACGCGGATTCGCCGGCTCCTAGTCACCCTCGCCAGGAAAGGAGAGGAAAGGGAGGAGGAGAAAAAAGAAAGAAAGAAAGAAAAGAAAGAAAAGGCAAAGAAGATCTGGAAGCCGCCACACTTTTTGTGATTTCCAGGAATAGAAAAGGACAGAGAAGCCTGCAAAAGTCTAAGCTTGCATGGCAGCCGCGGCTGCTCGCCCTCCCCCCACCCCCACCCCCCACACAAAAATATACCGCCACTTAGAGAGGTCCTCGCTTTACATTTCGAAGAAGGGATGCCAGTTCATAAACAGTTTTCGGTGATTTACTTCCCTGCAAATGAGTTGTTTCATATTTTGCACTGTCTTTTCATGATCATTTGCATCCATTAGAGACCCCGCATCCTATTGGCTTCTCCGTACTCCTCCCGGACAGATCGCAGGGCGAGGGCGAGAGCGAGAGAGCGAGCGAGAGAGAGCGAGCGAGACAGCGCCAGGGAGTGAGGGGAGAGAGGAAAAAAAGGAGGGGAAGAAGGAGGGAAAAAAAAAAAACACCCAGGGAGAGAGCGGGGAAGAGGGGGAGAGAGGGGGAGATGGGGGGGAGAGAGAATGAACGCGGATTAAATCTGCTTAACTACCTACATTAATGAGATATCTCTCGCCTCACAACAAATCAAATACCTTCATCGACCACCCCCAAAGACTGATGTGGGGGAGTCACGGAAGAACCCGGGCACACGCACAGCGCGCCAGGCGTGGGCACGCTGTTAATTTCGCGATTTTAACGAGGCAATTGGAGTCTTTCTAAATGTCAGGATCGCTTCGGAAAAATGTAAAAGAACACGGTTTAATTGCGCCGAGTTTTAAAAGGTCCTATAAATGTAATTGGTATTTTAATACAAGTTATCAAATCATACAGCTTCCTCTCCTAAACATATTTTCAAACAAACGAGGTAGTCATATTTAAAGCTTTAATGATCAATTTCCTTATTATTGATAAAGGTTTAACTATCGTGTGGAGGGAATTGGCTGGGTAACCGGCCCCCCAAAAACGGCTGTAAACTCTTTAACAAACTATAAAACGCAATAAAGCCGGAGTCTGTTGTTGTTTATACCGCAGCGCATAAAAGCTGTTAGCATTTTACGAGTTCTTTCCTCTACAGCTATAAAACTGCAGCTTCGATCGCCCCCGCCGCCTCACTGCAGCACGGTGGGGGTGACGAAGCCGAAATGAGAATGATTATGCGTTGGGGGTTTTTTGGGTGTTTTTTTTTTTTTTCCTTCGGTGCAAACGGTGACTTTCCCGAGATTTTCACCTCCTTTGGCCGTGGGGCAAGCACCTGCCCCCACCGCCTCTCTGGAGCCCCCAAACCGTCCCCACCCAGGCCACTCACACAGCTTTCCCTCATTAGACCAATAAGCAAGGATTTTCTGTGGAGAAGGGGTCGGGAGGCTTTGAGGAGGGACTGGGAGGGGGAGAAGAAACTTTCTGGTTAATGGGCAGTGGTGAGGCACAGAACAAAGTTCGTGTCGCAACTGCCAATTCTGCAGTTCTGCACAATCTCAGCTTTCTGGGGGGAGCGGTGAGATGCCCGTGGCGGGGGCTGTCTCCTGAAGGCGCTTGGGCCCAGTCAGTGCTTTTGAGGGCAGACTGTGTGAGGGGAGTGGAGGGGTCTGATTCCGCCAAAGGGATGCCACCCACTGGGGCTGCCCCACACCTGCACACAGGCCTTGAGACCCAGTGGCCAAGCCCAATTGGCTCCCAACCTTCCCCAGGTCAATCCTCCACACCTTCCGCAGTGCACTCAGGTGAGAGGGCACTGCCAAGCCCATCCACACTTCAAAAGGAGGGAAAGATGATGGAGAATGCTGCTGGGCACCCAGGCTCTGGCGTGTGGCCTTGGTGCCCACTATCCAGAGCCCTTGGCTGTCCCAGACAGTATCTGCAAGGTGCATGTTGGGGGGGGACCTATTAGTCTTCAGCGTTCCCAAGATCCTTTGAGTCACTGTCACTACCTAAACTGACCTTGGGGTGGAGGGGATTTGCATAGAGCAAGGCCAGTGAGCCCCCCAGTTTCTCTTCTTTCCTTGGGGAGCCTCCAGTTAAACCTGGCTCTCCCTACAGGCCTGAGGACCAGAGGCCTGAAACAGAGGACACAGGAGCAAGTTGACTGGTGTCACATTCGTGCGGCCGCCTTCCCTGCCTACCAGACCCGGTGGTGGAGGTGGCCAGGCTTTTAGAAGGCCGCAGGCTGAGGATCAGAACCAGTGGCCTCCTGAAGCAGCTGACTGGCAAAGGAAAGGAGAAGGGGAAAGGAAAGGAGAGAGGGAATTTTTGGTAATGAGGATGGAAGCTTTACAAATACATTCAATCCATTGTTTGCTCAGGATACAGTCGTTGGCTTTCAGAGGGGCACATCTTGGGGACCCATATACCCCTATCTTTGTAAAAATGAAACTATCGCTTTTTCCAAGGGAAAGTTACCAGGGGTCACATACTCCTTCAAAAGTGAATCCGGAGAATGGGAGAGGGGCTAAAAGGAAGGGAGAGAGAGACAGGAGGAGAGGTGGGGAGACGACCAGCGTCTTGAATTCCCAGCGTGTGGCTGAGGGGGCGGCGAGGCGGCGCAAGGCTGAGTTCAGTTGTTGCCGAAGCGAACATTTTTATCAAGTGCGGGGGGGATTTTATGGTCATGATCTGAGGACTCACCGGCGAGGTAGAAATTCAATAGCTTGTTCTAAATCATCCCTACACCGTGCCAGAAATTCCTGATGGAAGGAAAATGTTTCTATTATAAGAAAAAACAAGTAAGAGCGAGGAGATAATTTATAAACACCCAACGGAGCGCAGATTTATTAGAGAAACTCGAGTTGAAGAGAAACTCCGCTTGCCTCTTTGCACCTGGTCCTGGGGGGAAGAGAGGCGAGGCTGCGGCCGGGGTCGTTTTGCGGGGGTTGCGGTGCCTGCTTTCCCCGCGGGTTTGTCCGGATGGAAGGCACGGATTGAGCTGGGCTGGGACGAAATTAGGAGATTTGGAATCGAAGGGGCTATGGGCAAACAGGGCGCAGGTCTCAGGAGGAAAAGTGCCCCGAGACCGGGCCTCCACTTGCTAAATTACGAAAGAACCCTCGCCCCCCAGGTCTGCCCGGGGCCGGGCCTGGGCGCGCGGGAGCCGCGGGCCTCACCTGGAAGCCGCGAGACGCGGGGAGAACCGAGCTCCTGTCCCCGCACCCATCCGGAAAACGCGTGTTATCTTGGCAGCCCAATTTGGGGCGCGCAGAGCCTCCCGAGGAGATCTCCGGGCCTCCCCGCACCCTGCCGCCCTGGGGACGGAGCCCCTGCTCCCTGCTCCGCGTCGGGGTCGCCCGGCGCGCGCCCAGCCCAGACCCGGGCGCGTACAAAGGCCCCGCAGCCCGCGCCCGTGCCCAGCCGCCCCGCCGGCTTGGGGCGCCTCGGAATCGCCGCAAAAGCCACGGCCTCATTACCCCCAATCGGGGGCCCCGGGCCGGCTGACCCGGCTCCCCCTCCGGCCGGCGCGCGCGGCTTCCTCTCCACCCGACCTTCGCCTGCTCGCCCCTGTCCCCTGACCTGCTCACCCGCATCCACGGACAAGCCTGTCGCCCCCCTCCACGGAAAACCCCATTTTTTCCGACTCAATTCTCCTTTGATTTGGACCCATTATTCCTGTTATTATTGTCATTCCCCGTTTTCACGCATTTGTCGCCCCACCGAACACAGCAACCCGGCGAGAAGCACTGAGCGTTCCTCGTGGGGGAAATTCAGAAAATTGACTATTTGACTGGAAGGGGGGGGCACCACTATATCTGGAATCTATACAATGGAGGGAAAGGCCATAACGAACCCTATATTTTTATTACGTGCAGATTATTCATGACTTTTGCTAGCGCTCAGTTTGGAGACTCAGGGCCGACCACGGTGCCGTGTGAAGCCGCCGGCGTCCGCCGCTGCCGCACGGGGGATTTTCACGTGGAGCAAGGGTGCCATCTAGCGGCCATCCTGCGAAAAGGCGCCGCCGCCACCGGCTCTGCCAGGTTCTCGGAGAGCCAGCCGCGGAGACGGGAGAAACTTTCATGATTAGCAGAAAAGGGGGAGAGAAACGAGAGCGGGTGAGAGAAAAGTCATCGGAGTCAGGAAACGGTTCATGAAATTGTGCAATAAGCTAAAAAAAAAAAGAAAAAGGGAAAAAAACACACGGGGGTGGGGGGAGGAAAAAAGAAGCCATAAGCTTTTTTCTTCCAGCTTGCATCCCCGTGCCCCGCCTCCAACCCCTAATTTCTGGCGGAGGCCGCCAAGCGCGCCTTTTATGGCCCGTAAAAGGGGGAACTGAGCACTTTTCAGATCCCACACGATTGTTTCCGATTCCGAGGAGGGACCATCGGGCTTTTTGTGGGGGGAGAGGAGGCCTGGGAGGACGGGGTGGGCTTGTTAGAGGATCACGCGGCTGCGCGCGCCTCGAAGTCTGGCCCCCCGGACTGTGCGCGCGCGTGTGCGGGGGCTTCCCGCTTGCGACGCCCGGTTCTGGAGGGGGTGTGAGGAACAAAGAGCCCGGCTGCATTCGCGACAACAGAGCGCCCTTCCCTCCCCCTTCCCTCTCCTCTCCTCCTGCCCCCAGGGGCCCCGGGAGCCCCGAGCCCCGCGTCCCGGGCGGCCGAGGCTGGGGGCTGCCTGCCTGCGCCGGGCCCACCACTCCCCCACCAGGCCCCAGCCCAGGCCCAGCTGCGGCTCTCTCGGCTCCGGAAAGTTTCCCCTCAGTGTTTGCTTTGCTGCTGTTTAGTTTCTTAACCTTCAGAAATTTATACGCTATAAACTTTTATAGCGGTCATATTCTTTTATTGCCGCGCGCACACGGCACCGAATTCCTCTCCCGGCTTCTCCCTGCCTCGCACTCTCGCCGTCTCCCTCTCTGAATCTCTCTTTTATGACAACCGATTTCCCCATCTCCGGCTTTCGAGCCTCCGCATCCTCGCTTTTGTTTGTCTTTAAAGAAGCCACCCGGGCTCGAGACGCAGACGCCGCCGCCGGAGGCCCCTCCGGGCGCCCTCGCCCCCACCCCGCAGCACTGCGTCCGGTTCCAGCCTCGTTTTTTGCGTTTCCATTTGGCAGAAACTGGCCTTCCCGGCTCCCTATCAGCGCCGGCCGGGCCTGGGGAGCCCAGGATGGGGAGGGAGCCTAGTCTACACCGGCTGTAAAGCCAGATTCATTTTATAACCCTCATGGAACCCCCCTTGGAGGGTGTCCGTCTTGGCCTGCCATTCCCTGGAGCTTCGCTTTCTCCTGGCTCCTGCTATCTCTCCGAGCAGTTCATCCTTTTCGTTCCAGAGGGGCAGACCTGGCCTTTTCACTTGCAAGCAGCCTTCACTCGGGCCATACTTTGTCGCCACCTCTATCCCAACCCGCAGGGTCTCTGCAGGCTGCAATGTTGCCAGGGTGGGCCGGGTGAGAGGCTCTGGCGGGGGCGGGTGCCCTAGCAGCAGCCGGGTAGAAGGGAATCCTAAGGCCTGGGCGAGAAGGGCAAGGCAAGGCTGCCGAGGACTGCGCTCTTCACAAGAGGCTCTGGTGGGGACACCACAGTCTGAGAGACACAGAAAGGTGCCTCTCAAAACCGAGTTTAACTCTGGGATACCCTTTGGAAGGGATTTTTTTTCCTCCTGAGATATTTCTGTTCACCAGTCTATGTCCTCCCCTGGCCTTTGGCAGCTGTTTCCCCAGTCCTCAGCCTCTACCAAGCTCAGCCCGCCTCAGACCAAGGCTGCTTCCCTGTGGCTCAAATTGGAGCCTCAGACCCCAGGTGGGAGCCAAGAACTCTAAGGTGTTCACTCCCTTTGAGTGGAAGGAAGGAGACACTAGCCCTCCTGAGGCCCCTGTCCATACCCAGCCACCCTGCTGCAGGGAACAGAGGAGGGAAGTTGTTGCCTTCCTCCCGTGCATGCTCTTTCAAAGTGGCCAGGCCCAGGTGATGTCTTCCACCAGCTGAGGGAGAATCTGCTTCCAGGAGCTGCAAAGCAGACCTCGCCTTCCCTCTGGCTCTCAAGCTGGTGGGGAGGTCTCCAGTGCAACTTTCTTTGGAAGAAGACCCCATTGCTCCCAGGAGACCCAGTCCTCTCCCTAAACCATTATTTCCTTTCCTCCCCCCAGCCCCCAAGCCTCCCAGTACTCTTGCTGGAAGGCTCTTGGTCAGTGTAAGCAGTGGTCTTGAGACCTTGGGTCCTGGACCACCCCTCAGCTTCATCAGAGCAGGGAAGCTGGCTCTGCAAGGTCTAAGGAGAAGCCACCTGGGCACAGCAGTTTCTCTCTTTTTTCCAACCTGTGCTCTTGGGATCTCTACCTATGGTCATGTGGGGAGAGCCAACACAGAATAAGACACAAGCAGAGATCTATTTTCTAGAGTGATATATATTTGGGGGGATTTTTTTGTTTTGTTTTTTTTCTTTTTCCTTCCAAAACAAACAATTAGAGCTCTAGGCCCCTTTTCCTCCCCACTCCCACCCACAACCCTCCCATATAAGTGACAACTGAAAACAGGCGAGACAATCACTCTCAAAAAAATCACAGACACAAGCACAATTTCACGACAGCCACCGACAAAGCAAAAAAGTTCTACTGGAATGTCCCCTTGCAGAGTCAGGAGACGCAGGAGCAAGAGTCCACGGAATTAGAGGGGACTGAGAGGCGGGGGAGCAGCAGGAGGAAGGGAAGCAGAGAGCAAGCTTCTGCCGGATGCTTAGGTGCGATTTTGCCTCTTTCCTTTGCACGCGGGACTGTTCCCAGCAGCGTGCGCACGCACCGGCCACGCAGATCGCCATCCAGACCCGTGTCGCGGGAGGCAAAGCCCAGCCCTGGGGCCGGTCTCCTTTGGCGCTGGGGCACGCGACGGCCGAGCCCGGGGCTCTTCCGCGTGGGTCGCGAAGCGGGCAGGATCGGGAGGAACGCGCCGAGCTCTGCGCTCTGGGGCCGTTGTTCCTTCCTGTCTCCGACAATTTACCCCAGAAAGGCTTGGGAATCGATTCACAGTAAATTCTCCATAGGACTGTGCTGAACTGGCCTTCCTGTCTACAGTGGGGTTGACCTGGGCGTGGGGGGAGGTGGGGTGGGGGGGTTTCTACAAGGCGCGGCTTGACTCGCTGGTGCAAGGTGGATTTGGCCGAACAGAGTTAATTTCAGAGCTGCGGAGGACGCGGAAGAAAGCAGGGCTGGTGGAGAGCAGAAGCTACAGTCTCTGTCAAGTGGGGCACAGAGAAACAGGAGGAGGACATTGTCAAGGCTTTACGACCCACAGTTTGACCTCCTTTTGTTGGAAGGAGAGAACATCATGCAGACTTAAACATTTCCTGCAACAAAATGGGGGGGGGGCCTGGGGGAGCTCCACCTAAGAGAGCTTCATAAAGTCACTTGCTGCCTTTTCTTGCCCTTTGTAGTCCACCAGCTTGGGGACTGCGTTTACCCCATCTGCCCCTGGGCCCCTGCCTCAGGGTGTAGTTGGCGATTCCATGGGGATGGTATTGTGATGCTGGGACCTCTGGGCTGCAGCGCCTCACTGAGTACTCTGTCTGTAGACAAGAGCAGAATCCGGGCTCGCCGGATCGTCTGAGGACTGTTCTGCCCACTTTGGTGTGCAACGGTCTGCATTTAGGGTGTCACTTCATTTGACTACATGGTGGCTGTGAGCTTTCCCCATTAGTACTACGGACTCCAGGCTGTATGTATGTGGGCATCTGCTGGGCTGTGTGCAGTTGGGGTGTCCCAGGGTGACTTTTGGATAGGTGGAGAGAGGGAACAGGCAGGCTTGAAGTGAGGGGCTTGGGGCTTCCCTCCCATAATTACAGGGGATGCTAGGAGCATGACTAGGGCCTCTCCTTCCCTGTGGCCCATCACCTTCTTAAGAACCAACTACTTCTACCTTCTAAATCAAGAAAACTTTCTCCTGCGGCCCAGGGAGAAGCGAGGGACAGGTAAGGGCAAAGGAAAGGAGAGAGATTCTAGGTGCAGATAAAGGAGTTTGAAGAGAAAGACTTCCCTTCCCCATCCACTTGAATACACCCCAGACAGCAGTGGCTTTGGAGCCATCACATAAATAAAAGTGAGATGGGGAGGGCTGGGGAGGGCTGGGGGCCATCTTTACTCTTTGCCCTGTTCCTTATTCATTTTCTTCATTTTCATCCGTCGGTTCTGAAACCAGATTTTGACTTGTCTCTCACTCAGATTGAGGAGTCTGGCCACTTCGTGCCTACGGTCCCTGGTGAGGTACATATTGAACAGAAACTCCTTCTCTAGCTCCAGCGTCTGGTATTTGGTGTAGGGACAGCGCTTTTTCCTGGAAGAGCGAGCGTGCAGCCAGTTGGCAGAGGGGTTGGCTGAAAGAGAAGCAGGGATAGAATCAAAGAAAGGAAGGGGGTGAAGGGCCCCAGCCAAGAGGGTGCACTCCTGGTCTCTACTCCCCAGCTGGCACTGGAAAAGGGGGCAATGAGCCTTCAAGCTCCCAGAAAGGGTCCCAGAGATGGACCAGTTAAGACACCTCCAGGTGAGAGATTACTTGGAGAGGATAGAGCCAAAGGTGTGCCCAGGCTTCCTCAGCTCTTCCAAAGCTTTTCCTGCCTCAAGTTCTCTACCAATCTTCCTCCACTTGGGTCCGAACTGGTTAGGACTCAGGTCAAAGCCCAGCATGGCTGAAGCCCACTACCAGCACCCCCAGACTGGCTCAGGATATCTGACCTGAAGGGTCCTGGCTCTAGGTTTGGGAGGTGAGAGGAGGCATTGGGTGGGGGAAGAAAACTTCTGTTCAGCCACAGACAAGAGACCTCTGAACCCTTTAGTCCTGTCCGCATACACCCTGCTTTGATCACAAGCTTGCACCTCCAGGCCACATGGCAGCAGGCATATGTGTCTGTGTAGATATCCCCCCACCCCTGCCACCACCACACACCACAAATATGGGTCCATACTTAAAGCCAAAAACATCCAACACACTCCAATTCACATGCAACCCAATTGCAACCATTTATCAACTCCAGCCTGTGGACAGGGGAGCTCCGGGGGCTCACGGATAACTAATGATAGCAATAGTCTCTCTTCTGCTCCTGCTCAGCTCGCAGTTTGGTTAACACAAGTTCAGGGAAATTGGGGAGCAAAACTGTTCCATTCCCAAGGTAGGGAGTCAAAATTGACATAGGAGTAAGAGAATGCCCTTCACAGCACACCTAGCCTTAACTATGGGGGGAGGCGGCAGAGAAAAGAACCATTGAGAAGAAGAGGGGCAAAAAGTAAACAGAAATATACATATGAGCCCCTCTTCTTCCCCTTACCGTCTCTCCACCCACCCTGGAACTCAGAAAAGTTGCCAAATTAGTCAAGCCAATTAAAAATATCAGCCACCCTCTACTAGCTTCCTTCTCCCCAAATGAAAAGCATTGCATTTTTTCTTTAATTCGGTTCATCCTACACTAAGTACCGTGTCTTACCAATTTGCAGTGCTATTTCCTTAATGTGATTGCCTAGGATGAGACCCGCAGCCGCATTAAATATGAAAGAGGGAAAAAAAAAAAAACTGTTAATAATTGATCCCAGCCAAATGGCCGCCTTGCCATAATGGGTTTTCCAGGCAGAGTTTGGGGGTTTGGGTGGGGGGGCCTTGTTTGGGAGTGTGTGTGGGTAGGGTTTGGGAAGAGTGGTGTTCCCCGAACTCCAGCTGTTATGATTCAACCTGGCAGGTTGGAGGTGGCAGGCCTCGCAAGGACCTCCAGAGAGTGGGGCAGTTCTTTACTCTCCAGAAGGCAAGGACTCCCCAAAGGGCCCAGGGGGCTACTCTGTCGCTGGGAAATCTGGCAGAGTAAGCAGAGACTTAAAAATCTGACCCCCTACTCTCCCCAAAGACTAAGGGGTGAGAACTTGACCCTCTAGCCTGCGGATTATTGTTTGTATCTAAGAACTTCCTAACTGATTTGCTCTTTTCAACCTTAAAAACAAAAATACGGTATAGGAGAACCCCCCTCCTCTCAGCGAGCAGCGCCTCCAGGAAATTAGCCAGGTTGGGGTTCTGGCGGGGGTGCTTTTGGAGGAGTGGCAGGTGATGCCAGACTACCTAGGAAGGGTAAAGTTCTCCGCCTCTTCACAACCCTCTCCTCCTCCTCTCCTCCTCTCCCCCGGGTCCCTTCGGATGTCTCCTCCACTCCAGCGGTCGGCCCCGACATGCCCAAGCGATTCCCCAACTCCCCTCGAGGCGGACAGCTCCCGCTGGGGCTAGGGAGCCCCGAGGAGCGCAGCGGGAGCCTCAGGAAAGGAAGGGGCGACCCGACCCGGCCGGGATGCCGGGGAGAGGAGGGGGCCACCGGAGGGAAGGCTCCCGGGGAGGGGCCGGCACATCCGGGGAGGGGGCTCCGTCACCGCGTCCCGGGCTTCCCCCGCCCCTCCCGGCGCCGGCTGCGGACTCTGCGCGGCTACGGTGCGAGATCTGCTAGGAACGATCCTCCGCCAAGCTGTTGCATCGCAAATAAAATCCTAATGAGCCCCCTCCCCCTTCCCCTGGCCGGCTTTTACGGTCTGCGCGTGGCGCGGGGAGCTCTGCCAGCCGCGCGGTCGCGGGCAGCCCGGTGCGCTCCGGCCCCAGCCCGCGCGGGCTCCCGGCCTCGCTGGCCGCCGGCCCGGCCCCCGCCAGCTCCTCTCCCGGCCGTCGCCGGTCTCTGGCCAGGCTTTCAGCCGGGGCCTCCGGGAGAGAGGGGGCAGGCACGGTGAGAGCAGCCAGTCGGTCCCTGATCCCCAGGTC